GCTGCGGGCCCTGAAGGGGTTTGGGTGCAAGGCTTGCGCGGGTGGCGTGAGGAGAGGAGAGGGAAGGCGGGCCCCGGGCTATTGCTTTAGATGTTGGGTCGGGAGGTGCCGGTGTTTTCTTTAGCGTAGAGCTGGATAAGAGAACAGGCAAAGCTGCCGTGCCGCTTGTGTGTCTTCCGGACAGAGCTGACCGCGCTGTTTGGAATTTCTGTGGGCGGTCCGTGCATGAAATGCGTAAATTCTGATGCAGACTCCTCCTCTGCTTGCATTTGGACCTTCAAGGAAGCAGGAAAGCTGTCGGTTCTGCTTTCAGCGGTGCGGGGAAAGCTGCTGTGTGAGTGAAATGTGTGGAGTGTACAGGGTCCGTGATTCTGAAGAAATTTGATGTGGGTTTGCCAGGACAAATCCTTCCGTCTTCGTGTTATAATGCAAAGATATATTTATTTTTTTTTTAAATATAATGTCATTAACTTGGAGTAATCTGTAACTTTATTAATGATGTGGGCAAGAAACATCCTATTATGTAGTATCTGATACGTGATTGGTGTGGTTTGGGTTATTAGTTTGTTTGTTTGGAATTCCTGTTGAGTGTTTTTTCGGTTTGGTTGGGGAAATTTTTTTTTATTTTTTGGTATGAGAATGTTGCAGTGACAATTCTTGGATACAACTGTTTGGTAGCCAAGTAAATTTGATTTATTCTCATTCTGTGTTTTATGTCCCAGGCTAGGAAGCATGGAAAGCCTCTGTGCAGCCAACACCACTTTTGCAGTGGACCTGTTAAGGATGCTGTGTGAGAAGAAAAGTGGGCAGAACGTGTTCTTTTCGCCCTTTAGTATTTCTTCTGCTTTGTCCATGGTTTTGCTGGGTTCAAAAGGTAGCACAGAAGCCCAAATAAGCAAGGTAGGTCAAAATAAACTTGGTGCTTTGCATTAGAGGGGAGCATATGAGGAAGAGTCTGTGACATGGACTTGTGCTCAACTGTGATTGTCACTGTGGTGTGGGAGAGCAGAGCGCTTTGTCTGGTGTGTGTGTGTGTGTCAAGAGAACCCATTTTCTTTGTTTTTGTAGTGTGAGCTCTGTTCAGTATGAAGTGCAGTGATTCCTGGGTTTAGTTTGTGGGTGGTTTTTTTGAGGTTTTTGTGATTTATTTTCTTTAACATGTAATTAGGAGGTTTGTGGAGTTTTTTATTGATCAGTTGGTGGCTACATCAATTATTTTCCTTTCCTTCCTTGCTTGGGCTTAATATCATACAATACATGTTCTGCAAATGAAGCCAGGCACATAAAAATGTTTTTAAAAGCCCACTGTCTACATTTCCAACTGGTAATAGCAACATGATTTATTCCTTTATCAAATTTTGCTTTGGTAGTATACATCTCTTAGCATCTGTTTTATGTGCGAAGTGAGAGTATTAAATGCAGAGCCAGTCATTATGATTTGGATGTTTGCTTCCTTTGCGATGTGGGAGTGGAGTATAAACTCCTGTTTTGTTTCCATGTACTTCATAGAAGTTTCTCAAAAAGTTCTGTTGTTGTCATAGTTGGAGATACTGAAAATGCATCTGGACACAGTTTGAGCTGCCAGCTGTAGGTGTCCCAGCTTGGGCAGGGCTTTGTCCCTACAGCTCTCTTCCTCCCTGAGTTATTCTGTGATCCTGTAGCACTTGGCTTGAGGGAAGGAAATCAGGACTGCTGACTCTGCTGCTCCCTAATGTATGACTTGTGCAACATCTTGTTGGGTACATTGGATATGCCTTGCATGAATATCTCCAGATGGGAGGTCTGGTTAAAAAAATCTTTTGATTTCAAGTGGCAGTATTTAAGTTAAGCGTAATTTTACTATAAAAGCCATCTTGCTGAAGCAAGTGTGTTTAGAGAAGGTATGAGCACTGCTGTGAATGTTGGTCTTTGTGCAGGTGCTTTCTCTGAGCAGCGTCAAGGATGCTCACAATGGGTATCAATTCCTTCTGTCCAAAATTAATGATCCCAACAGCAAGTACATCCTGAGAACTGCAAACCGGCTGTACGGAGAAAAGACCTTGGAGCTTCTTCCAGTAAGTAGCCATTAAATTTGTTATGAGTCTTAGTATAATGCACTTGCAACC